AATATATTATATAAATTTTAGCACATTTTTAGCTTTTTAAATATAACGTTTATATTGTCCATACTTTTAATATAATAAAAAACTATATTAAAACGTTGGTTTTCCATCCATCTCTGATTAATCCTACAAATATTTTAAATGTCAAAGTTTGTACGTTTGTTAACCAATCACGCAAAAAAGACTGAACTGATTTGGATATTGGACACTTAAAGTTTATTTCCTGGATTGAGACCTTAACCTTAAATTATAGAGCGCCAGTATCGCTCTGGCTCGTTATGCCTACCGTTAGCAAAAGTTCTATAGATACTTAGTTATGATATAGCGCTTTCATAGTGTTGTTCCCCATGCATGAAGACATTTCTGCAAAAATATCGCACTCGAGACATCTCATAAGAACTATTTAGATCCGAACTTAGTAGATTGGTCGAGTACTATAGAAGAAAATAAAATGAGAAGTGAAATAAAATGAGTTTATTTATTCGCTCTGGGGAAGTAACCTCCACCAAAGTGGAATAACTATAATGCCATCCTTGTAAGACATCAACGTTTGGAGTAGAATGAATGAGCGCTGCCGTTGTCGTTGTTGTCAGTGATGACTGATTGTGCTTTATTACATACCTGTTATAAAACAATTTCCCCCGCAGCGTCTATTTATTAAATAAATATTTTTATCACTCACACAATTAGCCTAGCCCTAAAGTAAGCACTCAACTAGACAGCAATGTTTTCATACATTTCTTAACGCTTAATACGATTCGTCATCCCGTTTAATACGCCTAAATCGCCAAAACGTACCACACATATTAACTATTGCAGCAGCATAAAATTCAATGAGAATGTGATTAACACACAAGAAGAGGCCCTAAGTGACAATGATCAAGTAGAAGATGAGTCAACTCAGATTTTGTCTTCTTTAAATTAAGTTAAATTATGTTGAAAATCTTGTAATTGCTAATGCCACAAAATCTTTTTAACCATCGAAAATAAGTGATTACTTTAAATAACGTTATTATAAATAATAATACACTACATTTTTTTATAACATACATAATTCTTAAATAATGTACATACAAAATTCGAAATTTCCTATTCCGCAATCCCGCATAATACGCTTTCTCGCTTAAGACGCATTTTTAGTTGAGTCCCTGTGAAATCGTCTTAAACGGGTTTTATTGTATTTTATTTTTTTATTTCTAGCTAAAAACGAAACAACATCATTATTATTATTATTATTGGATCATTCCATGTAAAGGTGTTACAGGTCATACACTTTTTTAAGAATAAATAAGCCGTCATCTTAAAACATGTATTTTTTTATTATTTATATAGCCTCTGTATAATATATTTAGATTGATTCCAGCAGACGAAGCTTCGAATATTTGGCTCCCAATTGGGCCTCATTATGGCGGCTTTTTGGAATCCGAACAAAAAAATGTTATTAATATATAAATTAAAAAATGTTATACTATAGCAACCAATAAAAGATAAACGTATATTAAAAATATTCATTAAGTGGATGCGGTTCATTATGCATATAAACTTACACTATGACAAAAGAAACTTTCGTTACGCGTATCGACAGTAGTACAGCACTAATCATTGAGAAGAAAGAATGGCCGGTGATAGCTGTCAGTGGTGACCCGCCCCGCGTCTCTCGCATCCCCCTTTGAGACCCATCGGAATTTTTCTAAAACACGTAAATTAAGTAGTTTTAAATATCTATTATTATACTTATTATACTTGCTATTTCTTTTATTTTGCTTCCGGGATCATTTTCACAACCTCGCACCGCACATTTCACCATTGTTGTAACAAAATCAAATAAATATTGCTCAGCTACTCATCGTCACGCGTATTGTTTTGTTACTGATTGAAGTGACAAGGACGGACGGTGCTGTTCATATCTGTGCTTACGGTTCATATAAAGTAAAGAGCGCTCTATAGTTTAATGTATACTCTAAGATTGAGACACTGGATATTCTTTATATTGTTTTAAACTTTCCTTTCATGGTTTCAACATTATAGTTATAGGTAGACCGATTAACTGACTCCTCCTCCTTTCGTCCTCCCCCACACCCTGTACCCCGCAGGCGAGGACTCAGTTAAGCAGTTCATCTTAGCGAGATTGCTACCATGTATTTTATATTTTTGGCTCCGTGATCATGGCGCTTGCAACAGTGCAGATATATCGGAGACTCACAATATTATTAGACTTGTGAAGAAAATCAATTTGCTACAATAGATTAAATTATATTTATACTTCATCTTTGCTTTATTCATTATATCAATCAATACAAACATCTAAATAATCCCGTGAATACATCTATAGAAAAAAAAAATGCTTTTAATGCATAAAATAAAAAAACATGGTTTTTTTTTATAGTATTTTAAAGTGAATTTGATAGAACACTAGATTAAATTATCGGTTCTAGGTATCAAAAAAAGGGGTAGGTACCAATTCCTGTGTGCAATCTTTCTATTTAAATTAAGGAAGTTATATTAGAAATGCCTCTACAGATTTGGATGCAATTTTGGATTTGGATAAAAATTCTTTAGACATTTTCATATTTTTTAAGTGTTGAAATAAATAATATGACCCATCTCCAGATTATTTTAACACTAAGGGTATGCCTAGATATAAAAGACTCATCAGTCCACTGAAGAATGGCGTAATGAGATGTCAGGTACTTGCTTGCAAGATTCTAACCGTGACCTTTTATCCAGTTAAGATTTGGCGATGATGATTACATTAATAAATAAAGTGGCATAATTAAGAAATTGTCATATATTCCTAAAACCCTAAAATACATATGAGTGAATAAAACCTGAATTAGACGTATTTTAAAGGCAATAATTAAACGGGATGACACTACTTGATTTCATACATCATCGGGGTATTTCTCTATATTCTATAGTCTATATGACCTTTATGAAAGTCAATTACTTCAGCGCATAATCTATCGAGAATCAAGTATTGGTCCTAGAGTACGTTGTTATAATCAAGTAGGTACCAAAAGGTTTCATCACAATAAATGAGCTACTAAAAAAGCCTCTTAAGAGCTTGCGCTGCGTTAAGCGGGAGCATGGAGAGGATGTCCGCTCCGCGTGTCCGTTTCATGTAATTTCACAGAGCAGCGCTGCGTGAGGCGGGCCTACCGTGCAGCGCTGGGTTCAAATCACACTGGCGCAAATTCGAAGCGACGCAACGCGTAATTCTTCCTTCTTGGGATTGGGAATATCTTAACAGTAGGAAAATAAAGATGAATTTGGCCGGCGATAAACATAAAACCTGGTATTAGGATTCGCGTGTGGACATACGTCTTCGCGGGACCCTCATGGGACCTTCATGTTAACATGAACTTTAGAAAAAGAGAGAATTATGAGATCGATCGCGCAACTCAGACTTAAGTTCGGTGTGTGTCGCTGTGGCCTAGCCACGAGTTTTATTTTTTTCGGGGACTTCCCCGTTGCCCCGTACTTTTGTCCAGTACGATCTCTTCACGATTCGTTCATTTTGGCAGAAAAAAGTACTCGCTCGTCTGTTCAGGTCGTATTATGTAGTGGGAAAATTCGCTTTCTCACCGCGCCAGTGTGAGTTGAGCCTTAATTAGGCATGACATAGTCATGTATCTAAATAGGATTATGGACCCAGATAACCAAGTTCAGTAAATCATTTATAAATATACCTCCATAGAAGATAGATTTTACAGTAATTTCTTAGAGGCTAATACGAGTCTCTATATATAACAGCTCGTGACTAAATGTTAGGACATACCCCCTAATAATAAAGGAAGAAATTTGCAACTTTCAACAAGTTCTGTTTGGTTCACATCGCTCAAACAACGCTTCTGGATTGGCGCGGACTTGACATCAACGTCAACGGCGAGTATTTAAATTTATTTAAAATTGATATTTGAAGTAAATAAAATATTTCTTTAATCTACAGATACAAGAAATCTTTCAAATTTAAATAGAACAACAAGCTAGTGGTCTTTTTGTCTACAAATTTCTGAAACTAGGTACCCAGTATGTTAATAATCTTTTATAGTACACCTGCACAGAAAGTGCTTTATTTTTTAATCTTAAGAAAATTTTACTAGAAAAAATTCCATGCGGACCAGGCATTATTTAGTTTTAAAAATGAAGCAGAATTTTTAAGGCGCTGAGCGGGAAGAAAAGTCTACGGAAATTCATTGTTAATGTGCTGTTTTTTTTATTGTTCCAAAGTGGTCAGTATGATGTAGCAGATAATGAAGATTTATTGACTGCGCCAGAATTAAAAGAAACTACGTAAGCAGTCACTGAGAACCTTTTCCCGTGAAATCAAGAAACTAATATAAAGCTCTCATGTAAAAGTTTAGTTATTGTAACAACTTTAATATAAATTTCAATTAAAGAATTTGTCTTTTAATTCCTCGCAGGTACAGTATAAAGCTCTATGTATTCTTCAAAAGAAAATGTTATTCCCAACTTGGGTGTATAAAGGCCCTTGACTGCGCGTGGATCCTTAATACACCCTCGTTGGTAATCGGTCACTTTCTACTCTTGGTGAACAATGTACTATATATTTTATTTTTGGTAAAGTTAGTGGCTGTATTTTTTCACTCTTTAGCATGGATAGCTTTTTCAAAGCAAATAAGCTAAACAAAATTCATAATGTTCTTCCTCTGTGTATTTTAAATAAGTTTAATTAAAATGACAAAGCATAGTCCAACTAAAACTTACTATACTTCGCAAAAAACCCAATTTATAAACCTAATAATAAAGAGTAAAAATTGTCAAAAAAAGGAAAGAGCAAAACAGAACTTTGTATAAAATCAATAATTTTTAATATGTATGAAAGGCATAAAAACCCATGAAATACTTGTTTTTTAACTTTATTTCTATTGATTGCTGTAATTTTTACAATGATTTTACATTTATTTGTGTGTAGCAATCGTAGTTGCAAAGGTGTACATTTATTATTTTCATGAGATAAATGAAACAAGGGTAAAAAACATGTGTCAGTCTTTATTTCTATTGCATGTGCATTTTAATTCTTCTCTATCGCTCTCACGTAGGAATCGTAAGAAAAGTGCGTTTTCTATTAGTTTTTTAACAATAATAATCAAAAGATTTATACGGGTATATGGGGGCATTTTACCTTCTAGCTTAGACAATAATTGTATTTCGGAAACTTCTGGAGGTAGCGATGCGATCCTTTCACGTACCGCTTCGTCGCTGGATGCGCTGGATTCTAGTTCGAGGAGAGCCTGCAGTACAAAGTTTTTAAGGGTGGGTATTATTGATTATTTATATAATTATTATAAAGCAAGTAGTAAGTGTAGGTGTAACTTAATATCATAGATATTAATTACTGATAACATTGAGATAGAGACAGAGATCACCACAAAACAGTCATGTCAAAAATACATGAGGTTACTTAAAATACCTTTATACTACGAGGGGAGGTCAATAAGTTCGCGGAATGGAGGGGTTGACCTCATCGGGACAGTACTACGCTTCTTTACTGGAAAGATTGAAATAAGCCATCAAGGAAAAAAGAAGAGGAAAGCTGTCAAAAGGTATGCTCCTTCTGCACGACAATGCACCCGTTCACACGTGCCATGTTGCGACGGCTACCATTCACCGATGCGGCATCGAACAATTGAACCACTCACCCTACAGTCCAGACTTGGCACCCAGTGACTATTATTTATTTCCAAAACTGAAGAAAGAGCTACGTGGAACAGAAATTGACGACGATAAAGAAGTGAAGTCCGCAATTACGGCCTATTTTGACACCAAAGACATTTTTTTTTTTCGATGGTATAAACAAGTTATTTGAGATACCTGAAAAATCTATTAGGGTTAAGGGAAAATATACTGAAGAGGAAAAATAGTTTGGTATTTAATTTCAACCTCCTTCCCTCTTATTCTACTTAACTTAACTTTTTGACCTCCACTCATAAGACTATATATAACTCACATTGATTTTGAGGGCACTATAATCACAAGCCTATTAAGCCTATTAAGTCTGAGGTCAAAAATACATGACCTTACCTAAAATACTTTTATACTAAGACTATAACTGATATTGCTTTTGAGGACACTATCATCATCATCATCAGCATATTAATGCCCCCACTGCTGGGGCACAGGCCTTCTGTATGGATGGAATAGGAAGTTTGGGCAATGACCCACCACGCGGGCCCAGTGCAGATTGGTGGGTGCTAACGGCTGCAGATGCAGCCGGGACCAACAGCTTAACGTGTCTTCCGAAGCATGGAGGAGCTCGAGATAGTAAATTTTTGGTCACCCATCGAATGACCGATTACTGCGAAAGTTGCTTAACTTCAGCGATCGCAGCGGAACGCACTAACCACTTACGCCATCGAAATCCTCGAGGGCACTATAATCACAATCCATAGACTAGTCTGAGGAACTGTTTTTTTTTATTATCAGCACAAAACTTATTGTGCATGCAGATTAGAGGCAGCCTAGCCATCAGGTATCGTTTTTTTTACTTTGCTTGCCTCGGTGACCTTGCCTCACAAACACTTGTGGACATGATTTGAGCTCGTTTTTGAATAGAAGTTTTGGCCAACAATGTGGCCTTTTTTTTCTTTTCAATCAAATTCTATATAACGTAAATGCAGCAGCAGCAGCACAGGTTTCTGACGCCGTGGTTCGTCGTGCGTGATCTGGTGCAAAATGGTGGACAGGACAGAGAAGTCAATCAGCTGTGAAGACGATCCGGCGCCATTTTGATGTCTCGCCTTAGTGGCTCGACCTGAGGCACATTGCCTTGGCTAGCTGCCCCATGTTGTTTTTTATTTACAGAAGCAGCCCCCACACGAGCCCTCGTGGTCAGGCGGCATCTAATCCGTATGCACTTTTAATTATGTATAGCAATTATAAACATTTGAATCAAATTTAGGAATATAAAAATCATAAACCTTGATTGTGATAACTTAACAAAAAACCATCATCACCTTGATCAATTCCTCTGGTTCTGGAGGGTCACCAGGTGGAGTCTTCGGGCTTAAAGTTGTATGCGTCTCATTATGTTTCTCCTCTACCTTCGTCTCGCTGCGTCTTTTCTCTTGTTTCTGTTTCTCAATCTTAGGTTTTTTCTCAGGTTCTTTTGTTTCTGTATCAGTAGATTTATGCTTGATAACCTTTTTCGGCTCAGCGTCATTCAGTTCCACTATAATAGATAACGAAATGTCTGATAAAGCATGTTAATTTCTGATAAACTTTCATTAAAACCTTTGGTAAAACTGGAAACTGTATAGTGGGAATTCGAAATTTAATTTTGTTGAAGCAAGTTAGGGGAATTAATAAAATTATTTAATATTTTATACAAAAAAATTTGGTAGAACTGCTATCGACGATACCTAAGTAGGAGAATGTTATATTTTTTTATGCAGTCCTCATATGAGGTATAGTTTGATCCAGTTTGGTATGCAAGCGTTTTTACAAAATATTAAGTTGTTATGTTATTATTATTGGATACAAAATTATCATATAATTAAACAAAACAGCAACTAATTGAATATCTAGCTCACATGGGCTGTTCATGCAACTGAAATATTTAATAATATATAAGTTTAAATAAAATTATTATGATTTAATACATACTGGCGTCTTTAAATTCTTGAATTTTCAGTGAGTCATACACTCCTCTCTCCTCCCATATGGTCAGTATTCTGTGTAAAGAGTTCTTTGTCTTCGTGTTAATGCCAGTCTTAGCCATGTGCTTCAGTACATCAACAAGTACCTCTCCAAACTCCTTGCCATATTCTGGTCCTTTTTTTTTACTATTTTGTATGACATCATTAGCTAAGTACATGAAAGTTAGTTGTTTGCTGTCCTTTGCTGCAAAGAAGAAATTATATTATAAATATTATCTAAATACCATTTTACTAATGATTATGCACTAGGTATATGCATAATCATTAGTAAATCATTGGTAATGGTGGTTTTGTAATAAGTACCAACTTTCTTAGAATTAACATGCTATGTTTTAATGGCAATAAATAAAAACCAATCAAATGGTAAAACAATAGATCAATGAAAAACATTTGTTGTGATTGCTGACCAAAGATTTAAATCGTTAGAAATGCCCTTACATAGTTTGACCCTTCTGAAAACTGACAGCACTCGAAAGGGCTAAGTAGCATATCATCATGGCTTGTAATCAGTGTTCATCTATATAAAAAACATCGCAGACATTTTTGCTATCTAAATATATTGTAGTAACAAATTTGCAGTAGATACAAATAAGCAACCATTCTTTAGTTATAAGTGTTCCAACGGTAAAACTGTACTTCCAGGGCCCAAGAATTGACACTTCACTATTTATTGGTAAAAAGGTTCATGAAGTCTCTATGCAAAATCTCCACACCAGCGCACTGATAGTTTTTGAGAAAAATAAAATATTGAAAATTACTTCTTTTTTTTTTCTGAATGGCTTCGCACGGTTTGTGACGTTAACGAAAATGACATAAAAGACATTTATAGAGTACCAAGTAAAAAATCTGATAAGAGTGAGAATACTCCCATCATTGTGGAATTATCATCTAAGATGTTAAAAACGGAAATACTCAGGATGACAAAGGTGTTCAATAGGACTTATAAGGAGAAGCTTCGAGCAAAACACTTAGGTGCGACTAAAAGCGAGGAAACTGCTGTCTTTATCTCGGAGCAACTAACTGCTAAAGGTGCTCGATTGTTTTTCCTTGCTCGAGACGCTGCTAGAACACAAAGTTACAAATATTGCTGGACCTCCTACGGCCGAGTTTACTTACGTAAAGAAGATAACTCCCCTATTATTATTCTAAAAGATGAATCCCAGATACATAACTTAACATTAATGATTTGACTAGACTATAATACTTGTTTATTTTTTCTTATTGTTAAAGCTAATGTTTTTTACATCGTACTGTTATCTAAGCATACAAAAATATCACACACAAATACTCGTACACATTCCTCATGCCTAATATTTTCATACTCACATCAGTGTATAATCTTAAACCCCTGCATAATTATAATTTCCATTTTCAATTTGAATATGTCAAAAAATAGTGTTACATTTACATGCCAACATATTGATATTGATCAAACTTGTCTATTTTTATTTTATCAATCAACAAGGATGTTTCACGTGGCGATGACTTGGAATCTTTTAATAAAAAATGAATGACTCCCTAATAAATATTCATGAAATAGATGATACAGATATAGCAGTTGCTTATGAGTGCCAAATCAATGACCTATCGTCTACAATGAAAGTACGAAAAGCTGATTTTACAATTGTTTCGCAAAATATACGTAGCGTTTATGCTAATTTAGACGACCTGCAGCTGAACTTGGATGGTTTTGGCTTTGAGACTGATGTAATTATCTTAAGTGAGTGTAGAATAGACCTTAATAAAAATATTCCACAAATGGAGAATTATGCAGCGTTTCATACAACTAAACACGTCAACAAAGCTGATGGTGTTGTTGCATACATAAAAGATACTCACCAAGCTTCTATTAAGGAAATTTTCTTAAATCAGGCTTCTGGTCTTCAAATAAGTATAAATAATAGTATTATTATAGGCATTTATCGGTCTCCATCAGCAATAAATGCCGATGAATTTATAGATTCTCTTAATCAATATTTAGAAACTATTGCGAGGCATAAAAACGTTATTCTCACCGGTGACATAAATATTAACTTAATATATAATCCAAATGAATCCTCACTATCGCGTTCAAATAGAACTAATTATTTAAACATGCTTGCTTGTCATGGCTTACTTCCGGGACACATACTACCTACAAGGGGAAATAATTGCCTGGACCATTTTATAATAAAAAAAGAAAATTGTAAGATGACTGCAACCATAGCTGTACTGAATACTACGGTAACTGATCACTCAATGATTGTCTTAAAATTATCTACCACAAAAACTGTGTTTCCTAATGTAAATAAGAAGGTTAAAACATTGATAAATTATGAAAAAGCAGTGAAACATCTTGAAACACAGAAATTAAACGAATTATTAGCCGTTACCGATCCAAATCTAATAGCACAAATGCTGATAACAATTTTACAACAAAGTATTGCTATAAATACCTTAACAATGACCGTTCCTAGAAGAGAGCGGACAGTTAAGCCATGGATGACTGTGGGTGTATTACGTTGTATTAGGAACAGAAATGATATGCAAAAGAAATTGAAATCAGATCCAGGTAATATAACGTTAAGGTTGACATACAAGCGATATAGAAATTTTTGTAATAATATAATTAAAAAGTTAAAACGTAGCTATGATAAGCAACAACTAGAAAACGCCGTTAAAAATCCCAAAAAGCTATGGAACACAATAAATAGTATAACACAACGAAAGCCCCCCAAATCGCGAAACCAAGAGCTACTCGAAATAGCAAACTCACCTCAAGAATCAGTAAACCGAGTCAATGAGTATTTTGCTAATATTGGACAACAATTGGCTAAAAATATACCAGCTAGCTTTACCAAAACACCAATACTTGAAAAATCTAAAATGAATTTGGCATCTTCATTTGCACTCATAAATGTTGATTTTAAGGAGGTTCGATCCGTGCTTATGAATTTAAAGTCCGAGAGTGCTCCTGGGTGGGATAAAATACCTACAAACTTCCTAAAGCTAGCATGCAATGAGGTAGTGCCTATCTTGGTGCACCTGACTAACCAGTGTTTTGAACACGGAATCTTCCCGGAGGTATTGAAGCAAACAATTATCACTCCAGTACATAAAAGTGGTAAAAAAACAGATCCATCGAACTTTAGGCCCATATCAGTAATATCAGTGTTAGCAAAGATTTTAGAAAAGTTAATAAACGTCCGCCTAGAAAATTTCTTTGCTAAATATAATGTCCTTTCTCCATCCCAATACGGCTTTCGTAAGGGCCTTTCCACTGAGGATGCGGTCTTGGCTTTGACGTCCTCTATTGTGGAAAATGTTGACAAAGGTGAAAAGTGTTTAGCGGTTTTCCTAGACTTAAAAAAAGCTTTTGACACGGTGTCAATACCAATTTTGATAGACAGTCTTCAAAAAGCAGGCATTAGAGGAACACCGCTCAAACTACTGGAAAGTTACCTTACTCACCGTGTTTCGCGGGTTGGCGTGGGGTTGACATTAAGCTCTGGGTGCACTGTTAATTATGGCGTGCCACAGGGCAGCGTGCTAGGTCCCACTTTATTCCTCGTGTACATAAATAATCTGTGTAATATGCGAATTGAGGGAGGACGTATTTTTTCGTACGCTGATGATACTGCCATCGTATTTTCAGCTAACGAATGGGCACAACTAAAAATACAGACGGAAAAAGGCTTAGACAAGATTGCTACTTGGTTGAATGACCACTTGTTATCACTAAATATACAAAAAAGTAACTACATCTGTTTTACCAAGTATAATAGTAGTCAACCGTCGCTAGACTTTAAATTAGTTATCCACAAGTGTGATAGGCATCATATGGATACCTGTTCATGTGTTGAATTAAAAAAAGTTGCTAATACAAAGTACCTAGGTATTATGCTCGATCAGCGTTTGTCATGGCATAGTCATATTGAACTTATTATGAACCGAACAAGAAAGCTCATCTGGACATTTAAGACGTTACGCCACGTAGCCTCTGAGCATCTGTTGCGACTAACATACATTTCTCTCGCTCAATCAGTTTTAACTTACTGTTTGACTGTATGGGGTGGAGCAAATAAAACAAATTTCCTTTACGTGGAAAGAGCTCAGAGAGCTTTATTAAAAGTGATGTATTTCAAGCCCCGTGATTTCTCAACAGAAATACTTTATAATTTTACTGGACTTCTATCGGTGAGAAAGCTCTATATCTTGAACACAGTACTAAGAATACACAAATCCCTCTCATACAAAACAAGCTCTAAGAAAACTAGAAAGAAACACGATATTGTTACACATACTCAAGTCAAATCAATATTTGCACAAAGGCAATTTGCATGGAAATCTACTTTATTATATAATAAAATGAATAAAGAACTCAATATTTACCCTCTAACTTACAAAAGATGCAAAACTACATTAACAGAATGGCTAAAAACTAAAAGTTATACAGAAGTTGAATTATTTATTTAGTGGGGTTATAGGTATGTAAAATGTAAACTCTCGATACGAAATGTCGTGGGATATAAAATACAATAGTAACTCGTTAAAACCTCTCTACACACATAGGTACTACACACTATACATGTATACACACACACTTATACACACACGCACACTCACAACACACGTTCTCAGCCTAATATGCTTGTACCCAAGAAATTTATAAACTATTAATTATATAAGAAAAAAAAAATGTTTGTACCCTCAAAAAAAAAAACGGAGTCTGTAATCTTTGTTGGTTTATTTTTATTGTTTTGAAATCCTTTTGAAAAATAAAAGATATTTAAACTATATAATAATATAAATACATATATGGCGGATTGTTAATTGGCCTATTGTAACCAAGCTATGGAAGAGCGGTGCATCCTAACACAAGCAATTTTACTGCTTAAAAGGATGTACCATACTCATACATTGTAATAGGCTAAGTTACTGAAATAAACTAATTTTGTATTTGTATTTGTATTTGTACGGTTTGTGCATTTAGCCAAAGTCAAGTGTTAAAATATTTAGAAATACTATATCTCTCATGGTCATGGTAATAAATCAAGTCAAAGTAAGTGGCAGTCAAGTCAATCCCTCTTTCCCTATGTTTCAATAAAAGTGTGGGGATTTACTGGAACCTCCCCGTGGACTTCTTGAGGGAATGTCGAAAGACACTTTCCGCTATTTTGTTTCACTTGCCAACAATTGTTCCTGAACACTTAGTGGTTAATAATCTACCATTATTGGACACTAACATCCACACACATAACTCCTCCTATCCAACCCCCGTCTGCTGGAGATTCATAGTTTTTTCAGGAAAAAAAATTGTAAACATAACCTCAAAATAAAATATGCATAAAAAGCAAGAGAGAGATGACTTCCAAGGTTGGGGCTTATGGGAAAAACGGTAGTGGAGAGTGCAGAAATCCCACAATTTTTTTGATAAAAAAGGTCTCCTTTAAAAATATTTTTTTTCTGGCGCTTCGCTGCTTATTTCTAAACCCAACCCCTTTTGTCTCATACATTATTAAAAATCTATATAAAAAAATCTATGTAATCTATGTATTTTATTGAATTCTTTTGATCAGCTACTGTTTGCAATATTAGTTAAATTACCAAAAAAATATATCTAGATGAGACTCGCATTTAATAGCATTATTTTTTTTCGTTAATAATTTAATTTCACTACACTATTGTAATGTGTCAAAATGGCCATCATCTTAACGTCATTGCAAAGTATAGCCACAGTTTTTCGGTGTCAGGGCATATCTAACGATTGAAAATTTTGTTGATGACTACAACAGAGGACATACTTGTTAGTTTTACGTAGTAAAATAAATCGCGTACAGTAATGACTGATATCCAAAACTACGATTACCTATCATGCTTAATGAATTAATGCAATAAATAGGTTACCTTTTAGGAGTTCCTTGTACCAAGTCTTCACAACAGCTGCATGGTGTTTCCTATGGTGAATCAGCCATAACGATAATGTTTGAATACTTTGTTGGCTTGAATTTAATTCTTGCAGTTTACGAACTAGTGCATTTTCCGTAAAACCGGCCATGATTTAAAAATTCCTCAAACAATCATTAGTAGAAGAAAACCACACCACTGCAGCCACAGACCAATAAGAGAACAAGTTACTGCAGCAGCTAGGCTTGTTGAAAATATATCGATGTGTCGATATATCGATATTTTTTGTTCGATATATCGATATTTTTTGCCGATATATTTTGATTCGATATATCGATACATCGATACAAAATAACCAATATCGAAATTCGTATCAAAAACGATATTTTTTTAATTATTAGCGGCATATCACGATCTAACTAAATTCGTATCTGGAAAAATCGTAACTGGATCTCAGATTAATGATATTCAACATATCTATGATCTATGTTGTATTAGGTATTGTCTATTATTTGTAAATCTATTTCGCTGGTCAATTGGTTGTGCTGATTTCCATTATATTCTGTGGAAGTGTGTGACTGTCTAGTCTTGTTTACGAAAGATGGCACCTGAAAGGCCCTGCAATCATTTTCATCATTCAAAAATAGGGTCTATTTTTTGGGAGATAATTTTCGTTCCATTATTATTCCGCGTGTCATATTTCGTGAGATACTGTACTGTCATGTAGTGTAGCGGCAATTTAGTACTTTGATAATTCTTTCTTTAATTATAATTTGTATTTAACTATTATTACTGTGCTAGGCTGACCTAATTATATTTTTGGGAAAATTGGTCCGATATATCGATGTTTTTTTCGCGATATGTCGAAGCCGATATTGATATTTTTAAAATATCGATGTATCGATATATCGATATTTCTTTCAACTTTCGACATCCCTAGCAGCAGCTTGAGTTTTACGATTTTTTTTTTAGTTAAGTTCTCCCTTTTCAGGGAAGGCAAGGGGAACAATGCCCATACAGCCTAGTCTTAAGTTAAATTATTCTGTTTTTCTGTTTACATTAGAATGTCGGTGTGACGCATTCTAATGTTTCTTGAAGTGTTTGGCACGAAATATATCGAGCTGGTTTTTTCGATAAGCTTTTGTGAGGTAGTCAATACTACAATAAAATTCTCACGTCCACTTGACCGGAATAGCGTATATTTTGACGATTCTACTAATTCTTCAGTTACGCAGACAGTTGTAACACAAAATCACACCAATTTTATTTCACAATATCCACTATGAACGAATTTAAGAATAATTAAAATAAGACGCCAACAACACTCGATGAAATCCCGCCAAAAAAAAAACGTGAGTTTTACGAACGAATCCAGTGTTACCAACCCTTACCAAAACTTTTCCCTAAGTATTTTTAAATTTCCCTAAAATCCCCTAAATATAGTTTTTTTTAAATACCTACTTATTACCCAAATTCTTTCGTTGCTCATAAATTAAAAGGTTACATATATAGTTACAGTAAATTATTTTATTGAATAAATACAGTTTCCGAAAGGACAATCAAACTAAAATGAGCTGACAGGCTGTTAAATCTCATTTAGCTTTTTTAAATTTAGTCCATACAGCCTTAGGAAACAACCCGCCACACAGCCAGTTCAGTCGTTTTATATCGTGGTGTGTTCCATTCTACGCACATAACTGAAAGAAAACACACGCTTTGTTTTTCGATTTAATTGCAAGGTTTGATAAAAGCCCCTAAAAGAACCCAAAAAAAAAATCCAGCCCCTAAAAAAGTCCGTTTTAACAATTTTAGCCCTTAAATCTGGGGGCAAAACCCCTAAGTTGGGAACCGTGAACGAATCACAGATTTAATAATGAACGGAACGAATGAACGAACGAAGAAGCTTTTTCGTTGGATTGTTTTTTTTTTTAATTTATTCTGGCCTTGAATACTCAGTTCTTTAGCCGAAATCATGAATATAACAAAACAGAGATAGGTGTATAAAAGATTGAAGAACAAAATATAAAAATTAATAAGTAAATACATGCATTAAATATAAAAAAAAAAAAAAATTCATGAAAACAAAAATTAACTCAATTCCTCTGACTGCAATACCTCTGAGGGAGGGTACCCAAGTGAATTCCACCTTCTTTCCTGCATTACTTATTTCATTTAATAGGTCCTTAATACTATACACTACATAGTTTTATTTAAAGTCTATGCGGCATCCTAATAAGGCGAAAAGGATGCTTTTACAGTCAGTGACAATTAAAAAATCATTATAAATATTTACAATTTTTACATAATTTAAGGCCTGCATGATGGCATAAGTATCTGTTGTAAAAACACAGGCAGTTCTATTTAAATCAAACACCTAACAAATTTTTGTCTGTAGGTCAAAGAAACCAGACTTAACCCATTTTTCACTATTAGAGCCATTAGTAAAAATCTTATATGAGTTGGTTTTATCCTATTCTTCTTCATCGTCGTTTTCTCATGGCTGAGGGTCTTTCAGGACAGCACATTTCACCAACGATCTCCAGACCGTTCTGTGTTCTGCAAGGTGGTTGGACGCCTGCAAGTTGCCATTCGTAGTTTCTTTAACTATGTTCAACCACCGGGATGGAGACCTGCCCCTACTCCTCTTGCCTTCCACGTTTCCCACGACCAGAAGCTTTTGAAAATTACCTGGGCTTCTCCTTGCTACGTGACCGAAGTATTTTAGGAGGCGCTGCATGCAGACAGAAGAGAGACGCGTCTTAATACCCAGCTCCTTCAAGATAGATGCATTAGTTCTTCGTGCGGTTCAAGGTTTGTGTAGCATTCTGCGCCAACACCACATTTCAAATGCATCAATCCTGGAACGGACGCGTGTTTTCAGCGTCCAGGTCTCGGAAGCGTACGAAAAAATCGAGAAGACCAGGGCACGCATCAGCCGAACTATCGTGGATTTAGTAATTCCTCTGTTCTTCCAGATCTTCTCCAATCGCTTCACAGCAGCCTTTGCCATCTGTCCGCGTTTGACCACCTCCACCTCGCAGTCCCCGTCATTGCCTATAAGTGATCCCAGGTAGACAAAACTGGTAACTGTGTCTAAATCACTCAGCTCGAATGTTCTTGGCAACTTGTCAGCTCTATCGACAAATATAAGCTTGATTTTGTCACGGTTTATACAAAGGCCATATTCCACGCTGAAGTCTTGAACCTTGCGCATCAAAATTATTAGTAATGTTAGGCAAGTGTATACAACTCTGCAATACCAGTGCTTTAAACTTACATTTATATACTACAACTTACAAATATTATCAGTACATATCTTAGAGCATATACCACTGGAGACGCCATAGCGTTCACTCGCCGAACAAAAATTTTCACCATTTTTGGTGCGGGAAGAGGTATATAATACTCCCACAAACACGAGCGTGTTATTGCTACAAACGTACACTTCAAAAATTAGGTCACACAAACAAAAAATGCACACATGCTAGTAATTTTTATGTAACTATGCAATTGTTCGAGCGTACACCAACACAACACAAATTAGGGATGCCACATTAATGGAATGAACGATATTTGAATGAACAGTTTTTGATGAATGAACATAATGTTTGTTTATAATGAAAATAAAATGTTTCATTTATAAATTTCTATTTGAAAGCTTATTTATAGTTTTAGTACTTACGTTATTATGCACAAAATTCTAAGTTTTGTTTTGCAAATTATACTGCTGTGCAAAAAATCTTTCCAACTGATTTTGCTGCCTTTTAACGGATACCCTGCCTATATTTAATTGCTTTCACACCCTTAATAATAGCAAACGCAGTATATTGTAACAAAACACTGTATAACTAACCCAAGCTTATCCATTTTTTGTTTAATATAATGGGGATAGCGAAATAATATACTTCAGTGAATTAAAGTTATTCGTTTTACTGATAATGTATTCCTCAGTGGTTTAAGAAGTCAATAATTTTATCACGTGTCATTAATTAGAAAAATACCTTAATGATTCAAGTTTTCGGCAAATATCAATCCCATGCTTTCAACGAGTGCTTCGCTAGCGTACGCTTAATACAAAATGATAAAAAAAATATAAACCTATATATTTCAAGAATCTGAGGGCACGGTAGTGCCCCCGCCAAGTCGAGCAAAAACAGGGACACGGTCGTACCATCCTTTTCTCGAAACAGTTCAGGCCATTTTCAACCCCCTATAACTAACTAGAAGCCTGTGTGAAAACACAGTTACTGAAAAGTAACCAAGTAGGCATTATATAAACCCAGTATATTTAAAATTTCATTGAATTTGAGCCAGTAGTTTAACTAGTTACTTTCATAATTTCGTCACTCACTGTCTGACCGATCATCAAAACTTTAAGGCACTTCTAGCAGACATAGAAGCTTCAAATTTAGAATACAGTTAGTGTTTAATGTATAAATTAAGGTAAAAGTAATATATTTTGCAATTTCGGCTCAGATTTCTGGATATACTAACTGCATAAATAACTTTGTAATCTGATATAAATATACAGGATTATAAAGTAACATTCGCAGTTAATAAATCAGTGTAGTGTTATATAAATGTTGTACTATATTATAATAGATAGGCGTAGATAAGTATCTAGATATAATAATGTAAAATTAGAATCCCCTATATAATTTATATTTTAGAATAGAACGCGAATCGAATGGTTTTAGAGTTCCAATCAATTTGAATGTGTTTTATTTAGTTTTACTTTTTATCGTGAGAGGGAGCTGTATGTAGTTAGTTCACGAAATGACAGTTGTTTTTCGGGCATATATATAGAGGTTGAACGTTGATTGGATAATACTAAGGTATTACGTTGTAATCGTTCCAAAATCAGGGTCTAAGTCTAAATTATGCGTTGATGGATATCGGTTCTGCAGTATAGATATCTGGTCAAGCTTACGTGGCACTTTCGAAAGTTACAAATCTGGGCGGCTTACATTTAATTAATCTCGACCTAAATTTGTGAATACAAATAGACTTAGAAGCAGTTATCGTCCAGACTTGATAAAAATTGTAACATCAAAGCCTCCGAGAAAAGCCCATAGAGACAGGAAGTGGGCTTTGAGAAAAGCTGTAGCTGAAGCACAGGAAGTGGTAACGGAAAAGAAAAAGAAGAAAATTACCTACAAATATAAAAAAGGTCATAACCCAGCTCATCCTAAAACTTGTTGGTATTCAAGAAGTAAAAGGTACCTGATAGAAAAAAATTGTGTGTGTCAGCTC